GAGCATCTTGTGGAAGATCAGGCCTACACCTATCTTGGAATGCAAGTTCGAGACAAGCTCCAGAATGCCCAGATTCAAGACAAACTTCGGGCCGAGTACAAATCTCGTTTAAAGAAAATCTGGGAGCTCAGAGCTAAACGCTCGAAACAAGGTCAAAGCCACCAATACTTTTGCTGTGCCAGTCCTTTCCTATTCCTTTGGAGTAGTTGATTGGACAAAACAAGACATCCAGAGTCTTGACCGTCTGACCAGAAGGATCATGTCTGATAATAGAGCCCACCACCCTCGTTCCTATCTTAACCCTTTATACATGCCAATCAATTCTGGAGGTCAGGGTTTGATTAATGTGGAGGCTCTTCATGATAGAATTTTATTGTGTACTTTTGCACATATTTATTTATCGGATGATCCTCTAGTGATGCATGTGAAGACTCATGATGAAAGCAAGGAATTCCACAGCTATTTTAAGCGTGCCAAGGTTGTTGGACAGAATCTGAGATTTAAGGTTGATTTTGTTGATGACGATGTACTGCTGGACGGTACAGTGATGGAAGTAAACCAGGTGAAGTCCTTCACCAAGTCTGCTCAGAGTCGGTCTTTTGTGGAGAAGCTTTCTGAGAAGCCATTGCATCGTGTGTACATGCAGTGTGTTGAACAGAATAGCAATCCCACCGACTCCTTCGCCTGGATGAAGTCAGCTGGTCTTAAATGTGAAACTGAGGGCTTCCTTTTTGCTGCTCAGTACCAGTCACTTCCCACTTGCAATCGCCTAAATGTGATTCTTAAAGAAAATATTAATATGAAATGTCGACTTTGCAATGAATTCACAGAGACTGTCCAACACCTTGTCAGTGGATGTCCTACCTTGGCACAAACAGCATATCTTAAACGACATGATGGCATGGCTCGTTGCTTTTACTACCGTCTCTGACATGCCTGTGGCTTTGACTCCGAGGTCCATCCACGGTACGACCCTGAACATGTCCAGGGCGTCATGGAAAATGATGCTTTCAAACTTCTGTGGAATAGGCCCATATACAGCCTGAGAAGGATTCCAGCCAACAAACCTGATCTTGTCCTTTTTGATAAAGCTAATGAATATATTTATATCATTGAATTTTCTGTCCCTTTTGACACCAATGTGATTGGCAAGATTCAAGAAAAGCATGATAAATATGCGGACCTCGCCTTTGAAATGTCTCGCTTGCATCCCAAGTACACTGTCGTCAGGCTCCCCATTGTTCTCGGTGCCCTTGGTTTGGTACCTCCTGATCTCTTGGCGCAGATCAGGAGAGTGCCCAGATTCTCCACCGGGAGTACAGCCCTTCTGACACTCTGGGTAATGCAGAAGGCTGCAGTGTTGGGGAGCCTTCATATTCTCCGGAAAGTTTTTGATGGGTTTGACTAGGCAGCGTTTCCTGGGAGAAGTCCCATTCGCTGTCTGGGCTGCGTGTAGAGGGGGCAAGGGCCCTGAGCTGATGATGAGCCTTACCAGCCTAACTGTGCCAGGATCACCCGAACCCTCTCTGCTGCATACTATCTTTAATCTGTAAAACATAATAATAATAATATGTACTCGCAAGGGCAGGTGCAGACTTTGGAATCTATTCCAATCAGAAGGGGAATATTTCAGGGGGACTCCTTTAGTCCTTTGCTTTTTTGTTTGTCTCAATCCTTTGAGCTTTCTGCTCAATAAAGAGGAGGGTTACCATCCCGGACCTCCTCAGCACAGATCTCCAACACCACTTACTCATCTCCTTTACATGGATGACATTGAGCTCCTTGCCAAAGGAGATGTCAATTTGAAAGAACAGGTTCTCCTTGTCAAGTCCTTTTTTAAATGATATTGGCATGACATTTGGATGCGACAAATGTAATACTCTTCATTTGGAACGTGGCAAGGTAGTTCATGGTGGATTGGTCAAGTTACAGGGGGGAGGAGTTATTGAGCATCTTGTGGAAGATCAGGCCTACACCTATCTTGGAATGCAAGTTCGAGACAAGCTCCAGAATGCCCAGATTCAAGACAAACTTCGGGCTGAGTATAAAGCTTGCTTAAAGAAAATCTGGATCTCAGAGATAAATGCTCGAAACAAGGTCAAAGCCACCAATACTTTTGCTGTGCCAGTCCTTTCCTATTCCTTTGGACAAAACTAGACAATATGAATTTTTCACCAAGTCTGCCCAGACTAGAGTCGGTAATTTGTGGAGAAGCTTTCTGAAAAAACATTGCATAGTGTGTACATGCAGTGCGTGGAACAACAGAATAGCAATCCCACCGACTCCTTCACCTGGATGTAGTCGGCTGGTCTCAAATGTGAAACTGAGGGCTTCCTTTTTGCTGCTCAGGACCAGTCACTTCCCACTTGCAATCGCCTAAATGCGATTCTTAAAGAAAATATGAATAATAAAATGTCGACTTTGCAATGAATTCACAGAGACTGTCCAACACCTTGTAAGTGGATGCCCTTCCTATACAAACAGCATATCTTAAACGACATGATGGCATGGCTCGTTGCTTTTACTACCGTCTCAGCCATGCCTGTGGCTTTGACTCCGAGGTCCATCCATGGTACGACCCTGAACATGTCCAGGGCGTCATGGAAAATGATGCTTTCAAACTTCTGTGGAATAGGCTCATATACAGCCTGAGAAGGATTCCAGCCAACAAACCTGATCTTGTCCTTCTCAATAAAGCCAATGAATTTATATATATCACTGAATTTTCTGTCCCTTTTGACAGATTTATGATTGGCAAGATTCAGGAAAAGCATACTAAGTATGCTGACCCCGCCTTTGAAATGTCTCGCTTGCATCCCAAGTACACTGTTGTCAGGCTCCCCATTGTTCATGGTGCCCTTGGTTTTGTACCTCCTGATCTCTTGGCGCAGATCAGGAGAGTGCCCGGGTTCTCCACAAGGAGTAAAACCCTTTTGACACTCTGGGTAATGCAGAAGGCTGCAGTGTTGGGGAGTCTACATATTCTCCGGAAAGTTCTTGGTGAGTTCGACTAGGCAGCGTTAGAAGTCCCATTCGCTGTCTGGGCTGATGAGCATAAAAATCGTGTTGCATCCAAGTACACGTAGGAAAAACAAACATGGCACATTCTGTCCAACCTCTACATAAAATATTGGTATTTTAATTAATAACAACTAAGTTTTCCCCACTTTTATGTATAAACCTTGGCAAAAGTTGATGAGCTTCTCATTTGACAAGTTTTCTTTTATCATGCTCAGTTTAATATGACAAGAGAAAATCAGAAATTAAGATTGCAAGATCTAACTACACTTTTCTAGTAAGTGCAAATGGTCACAAGATGTGATGGCACAGATTGTGTTGTCTGCTAAACATCTTTCTTTATTGAATATTAACAGTAAATTTGGAGATACTTTGTCAGTAAACACTAGACAAATAACTATTAAGTATGATTAATCATAGCCCATACGAAAAAAAACCCCATTTAATTGTAATTATGTTTTGGATGATATAACTGGGATATCACTGAACCTGTTTGACCTTGTATGCTCTCCTGGAAACAGCTGAAGTAGCTGAAGTAGCTGATCACCTCTTTCGTCTGAACTTTAGACCAACCTCAACAAGAGGTGCACGAAAATGGGTGTGACAAAATCTGTTTCAAAATAACATTCATTTATTCTATTATGCCAAAATATTAGCCACTGCATGATGCATATATATTATTAAAATATACTTAAATAAATGATCAATTATTGTTTCATATGAAATTTTGGATGATTTAGCTTGTATGGCAAAATTATACTTCTCACTTCAGAACAATTTGAATTACAGATTTTTTGTTATTAATACATATTATCATTCTGTTTTCTCCCACATGGTAATGGGTAAAGACTCTAATGGGTCTGTCAATGCATTAGCAAAGTGTAAATAACCATTCTTCAATAACTGTCTTTCATCTGATTATCAGTTGTGTGGAAATGATCTTATGTTGGTTCTTTTCCTGGGTTTCTGAGCAAGGACATTATATGTAATTAATCTCCAGAACTTTCCATAGTTGTTGCTGTTTGTCAAGGTGTCTGATAGTGATATGCTCCTATTACTTATAATATGAAAAATTGCCTCTGCCGTCATAATAATATTTTGTGTCAAGAACAGTCTTCTTTTAATTTAAAAATGTCAAACCTTGCGAAATCTGAACAAAATAGCAAAAAATCATTTATTGCAGTGCTTGGTTTAGGAAAATGAATCCTGTTTGGTGATGACCTTGATGCCCCCGACAAAAACAGGTTGCACCTCCTGCTCAATATATAATTATCTGTAATTTGGAACAATTACATATAATATTAGTACAGTGGAAACCGCCTAAGTAAAGACCGCTTAACTAAACAGACCTGATAAGTAAACACTTTTCTTTGGTCCCAGCAACTTTCTTCATTTCTGGTGTCCCCAGCCGTGATATTGCTGGAATATTGCTAAAAGCAGTCAGTCAGTCAGTCAGTCAGTTCTTCATTAATTATCACTATTAGAGTCCGGTTAACTAAACTCGGATAAGTAAACAATACCGCTTAACTAAACGTCTTCTCACGATCCCTGGAACTAAATTACTTAACAAAAGAGACTGGATAACTAAATTAGCGATCACCACATAATCCGACATGAGGGGCAGTTGTGTCAGTCTCCAGTCAAACAAACATCCTGTTTACAGCTCGCTGGCGTCAAGCAGTTGACAATACACTGACAACTGGAGGCCATCCCTGATAAGTTGTTCATTGTTACATATGCATACATATACATGCATATGGTTGTCATTTGCAAGTTTTTATAAGTTTGGGATAAGTAAAATACCTGATAAGTAAACAATTTTTGGCGAGTCCCTTGACATTTTACTTATCAGGTTTCCACTGTAATTATTAGTAAACTTACACTACTGCCTAAAAGTTCATTCCCCTTGAACGCGTTGGGAACGCGTGTGACACGGGTGTGCAACGCGTTTTGAGTCCTGTGTCACACGCGTGTGCAATGAGACACACGTGTGTAACACGGGACCAAGTTTCAGTTGAATTTGAGGAAAAGCGTTAGGGTTGCATACTTAGAATTGTATGAATTTTTAATTCGGTAATTTGCCAGAAGTGGTTGGGATGGTTTAGTTGGTACTTGTTTTATCTATTTTAATGTTTTGTTTTTTGTATTTCTAAAGTTAGTACTTGTTTTGTTTATGTATGTGTATTGATTTTATATTTTCTAAGTTAGCATTCTACCTGTTATATGGGATTATATGCGAACACGAAGGTCAGTGTTGATAAGAATTATACCAAAGGCTTTGGTGTTATTTAGTGAGCTTAGAAGTGTTTGTAGTGTTAGGTGTGTGTTAGTGTCCAGTGAACTCTGGAGCACCATTCCGTGTTGTTGGTAGTGTATGCAGTGTAGTAGGATACACATGTGTGTACCATGCCCTTAAAAATGGGATCAAGTTTCAGTTCAATTTTATGAAAAACGTTAATTTGCATACTTAAAATTGTATGAATTTTGAATTCGGAAATTTGTAAGAAGTGGTCGGGAATGAATTACGCGATTGTTTAGTTGGTACTTGTTTGAATTGTTTTTTTTTGTATTTGTATTTTTAAAGTTTGGTGATGAGCAGATCAATCAGCTTAACTAGTACGGGGCTGTTGTGGTGAATCAGTTCGGCGATGTGGTTTGGACGAGATGAGCCATTCTGTGCAGAAGAATTAGTTCGACGATGTCGAGGCGAACCGGCCTGCCGAATCGGTTCGATAATGATACTTGGATGAGTTTGGTGAACCATGGGACGGCTAGTTAAGTTGAAGAACAACGATTCAGTGACTGCTGATTCGATAAATGCTGGCTCAACGATCTCTGGTTCGAGGAAAGCCGGTCTGGCGAATTTCGGTTCGGTGAATGCCAATTAAGTAGATGCAGCCATGGTCCGTTGACGAATGCTAGTTCGTTGAATGTGCATTCGGTCCCTGTCGAGGGAGCTGACTGTTGCTGATTCCAATCAGTAGTAAATAGCACTCAACATCGCAGCCAGATCTGGGGAAGGAGTAGTTTCCTGCGCAGGAGTCCAGGAATCTGGAACAATCCGAGTAGACTAGAGAGATGCAAGAAGGCAGGAGCCCCATCAGAAGTCGTAGCACGCTGAGATCTATAATCGGAGCCCCGCTGAGTAGATCTCCTATCTGTAGATCCATATTGGTGTCTGCAGGGGGACGAACCGGAAGAAGACGCACATATGGAGACCCGATGAGAAATTCGGGAACAAGGAGGGGAAGTACCACAATGAGAACGATGATCCCTGGATCTTGAACCATAGGCAGCAGTCGATCGTGTACAGGAGATCTAGGTTGACGGGTCGAGTGCGTAGAAGAGGAAGTCCCATGCTGACGAGAAGACGTAGTCCGAGGAGGTGACTTCGATCGAAGAACCGATCTCAACAAAGTAGATGGAGGCGTTGCTTAGTTGAATGCAAACGAGTCGAAGAGTGGCTTCTCTGCGGTGAAGTAGACCTACCAGGTCTATCCGGTGAACAAATCCGAAGAATAATAGGAGCCTGGTCCACATTTAGTGCAGTACACCATATTCTAAATCTTTACACAAGTGTTATGTAAGACTTGGGTAATTGCTGTGGTTGCGTAACAATTACGTCTCACGGTAAAAGGGATGGGCAAGTGTGTCTATTGCGCGAAGTGCTCCAGTCAAAGATGACACAACACAAAAAGACAGTAATAATGTGTATTAAAATAAAAGGTCTTGGTTACAGAGTTGCAAATTCCGACTGCACAGTCCAGGTGAAACCTAAAAAACAAGTTGGCTTGTTGTCACCTCGACAGTGCAGGCAGAAAGAGCCATTGTGCAAATACAATTATGAAAATTAACAATAATCCGACTGATATGTAGGATGTGACGACAATACTTAATAGGGGCAACAATATTATTAAAGGACAAATAAATACAATATTGGTACAAAAGTATATGTGCATATATGAGCACACAATCCCAAAGAGTATTTACATAAATACCTTTAATTACATAACCCAAAAGAATCGTCACACCCCTCCTATCAGGGGATCTACATAGGGCCCCAACTGAGGTGAGGTGAAGGTCACATTAATATTAACTCTTTCAACACCAGTCAACCAGAGGCATTTACTGCCATGACACCGAGTTCCCAGAGACTCTGAGGTCATAGATGCAGCCTATGTTTATGAAGGAAATTATAAGCTTGTAAAACGTTATTGCTACTGCATCCCATACACCATTTAAAAGATCTAATCCTACTGTTGATAAATAGGAAGTTTATTTTTATAATATTATTCAAATAATACAACTACAACTTAAATAAATTTATATTTGAATGAAAATGCAAGCTCACATTTATAACGTCCAGATAAACCACGAAAGAAGCAAAAACTATGGCGATTTTTTCCATTTGTGACATGTCATAAAATGCCCGTGCCTTTTTCTTTTATATTTTCATTTTTACGTAATCAGAAAATTATTATAAAAAGATTTCTTAAACAATATGTACGGTCGCCTATTTCCCGATATCTGTGGCTTTCCGCCCGGTAAAATGACATAACAACTGAAAATACCTCCGCTTTCGAAGCTTCAGATGAATAACATGCGCTGCAAATCATTTGATGTCGGGCATCGCTCGAAAAGCTCTGAACATCAACAATATCACTGTACCCTTGCCAAGAGTATTTTCACAGTTGTAAGAAGCGATTTTATTGATAAAGATTGGTTTCTAATGACGCTTTTTCGCCACGGTCTGCTATAAAGGTCGTGATTGGTCAAAATCAGACACGTGACCTAAGGCAGCCAATCATATTACGGCAATGGATACCGTCCTCGTAAACGGAAACTTTTAGATTTGGACACAAGTTTTGGGTGAAATAATGCTATTCTGAACATATTAAGCAAGAAATAGCTACCTATACGTAAATTATGGAACTTATTGGACGTATCGTGCTAGGTTATGACCTGTGACAAAAATGCTTCATGTATGTATTTTCGCATTAAACATCGTGGTCCGAAATGAAGATTGAGGCGGCGAGAGTTTAGATGTCACTTGTCAGTGACTTGACTTGCATTACACGATCGCACAAAAAGATGGAAATAGTAATTTTATAATGCACGCTTGACAATTTTATGAATGCTGCTGTTGATTTTATTCATTAGTCTATTCAATTTATTTAATAATTTCCTCGAAACATCGTTACTTTGCTCTTTGACAATGTTATTGTGGACCCGCTGCCGAAGCATGTGTCTGAGAATCGTTGTTTTCAATAACATTGCGAAAAATAGTTTATAATTTTAATTCTGCTGATAATATATGATAAATTGAAATTTAATAAGTGTTTTCAGACATTGTGAAATGTGATAGATTTGATATATGAATCAAAAGTCAGGTAGGTTCCTAAAAGTATGTCTCATTTTGACGTGACTACTGCCTGGCCGATTAATCGGCCTCCGGTGTCTGGGGACTCATAACGTTGTGGCCGATTATTCGGCCTGCGGTGTTGAATGGGTTAAGGGCCAATGGGAAATATAAAAATACATATATACACAAAGTGGGGCAATATTTATACCCAACACATTTGGAATATATGATACAGAAAACCGGTTGATTGATATACACAATAGCCACGACAGGACACCTGGCCTGTACGACACATGTGGCTAAGGGAAATGGGGTATGACTGCCTGTTGGATGATCATACTAGTCAATATGAGGCTAGCTCCAACAGAACGTCAATACACCCGGTAGGTAAACCACTTGGGGCTACCCAGAATAAACACCTAATTATAGTAAATAAATTGATAATATGTAATAACGGATATTACATGATTTATATTACTACAATTTGTAGGCATATTATTGGCCATATAATATAATACATTATATTATTATTGAATAAACTGTGACTTCACTTTCACATCAAGTGGGGAAACATACTAAAACATGATTGATGTAACAACATGTAGAAATATTACGTTTGATGATACGCGTAACGCCAGACGCGAAGAGAACGAGAAAATAATCTTGTTCAGAAAATAAACAATATTCAAATGCTGAACATGCTATTACCCATCAGTAGCACTTTTCAGATATACTTGATAAAGTGACATGAGATGATGGTAGGCTTTTGCTATGTTAGAATAAACATGAAGCAGACGACGGACCCTAGGTTTGTTTACATCCGGTGCAGCCATTTTGTAATGGAGCCTGACAGGAGCCGGAGAATGCCGAGGAGAGCCTGCCGAGGAGAGCCGAAGACAGACCAGGCTGTGTGCTGCTCAGTGGAGAGGTCAGCACTGGTCAGTGAGCATGACCGCCACTAATTGGTTCCAGATGATACCATGATACTCTAACTGAGCACATGGTTTGGAAACCGGGACAGTGATACAGCCACTTTTTAATTTAGATTAAAATGGCAAAAGAGTTCTGTTGTTAGCAGCAACAAGTTGTAAATAAATGGAATTTTGAATTTAGCAATGAGCTAGAGACAATTTTGACTGGCAGGTGAAATAAGCAAATTAATGCTAAACACACAAAGTACTTTACTCAAATGAGTTTCTAGATGAAAATATATTACAATGAGTACATGTCATTTATTCTTGCCATCGAGTGCACGTTTGGACAGTCACAGATGAGTGACCTTTCGCCAGTTTGGCACAGCAAGAATAATTGATGACAGTGACCCAACACTTGTTTTAATTGTGATTCATCAAATTAAATAATACATTAATTTAAAAGCCGCAGATAATTACTTATCCTGCTAACAACATAACTATACATTGGAATTTAATACAGAAGACCCAGTTGCAATATCGAAGCAAACTGAGGTTCTTACCTAAAAAACAAGTTGGCTTGTTGTCACCTCGACAGTGCAGGCAGAAAGAGGAAGATTTCAGGCTAGGGGGTCCCACGCTCCCTCTAGCCCCTGTCATGTGACAACATAGCCCCTGGGGATTGGCTAAAAAAACTGTTGCTATGGAAACCATGGCACCAGTGCCTTGAGCCCCAGAACCCTATCAGATAACTGGTAAAGGGCAGGATATTGGGTTACTTGTGCAAAAGACTAGGACAAAACATCCAGCCTTTACAGTTAGAAGATGAAACGTAGCCATAGCTG